GGTCATGACGAAACCACCAATTACCATGAGCGGCTTTCCATCGTGGGCGTGGCGGAGCCGCTGCACCGCCTGCCCGTTCCGAAGAATCCCTCGGTCGCTCTGTCTCTGTCGCACTCGCGTGGCGATCCGCATTGGTGCGATAGAGACAGAGGGATGAAAACGACTGCCCTGGCTGGACGGGCGCGCGACGACGCGAAGCCTGTTTGCGTGTCGTCTTGTGTTTCGACAGTTTGGCAGCAGTCTCTGGGTAATGTGGCGTCCGCCCCGCTTTCCGGACGTTCCTTCTAGGAACCGCTTCCCCGAGCTGTCTGCTTGTTTTCCTTCTGGCTCGTGCTTCCCCCGCCCCGCCGCGCTGTTGGGCTCGGAATGCGATCAGGTGAGGCCGTGGCGGGGCGCGGCGGCGCGGCACCGAGAAGCCCCTGTATATTGCGAAACGCGGTTGTCGGGCGTAAACAGCCGCGAACGCGAGCGAGCAGTCAAGGGCGGCGGCAAAGCACGGCGCGATGGCAACCCCCAAACCCCCAAACCAAACGAAAACTCCCCCTCCCGGGGGCGGGGGGCGCCACTGTTGCCCCGCGGTTCGAACCGCCACCGCCCGCTCCCTCCCCTCGCCAGGGTAAATATTGTCCCTGCGACCCCGCGGCGTAATCAGAGACCGTGGGGCAGGAGACTGATTACGCTCACCGCCGTCTTGTGTTTCGTGGGGCGTCGTGTTGGTGCGAGAGAGACAGTTAGGAAGAGCGAGGCAGCGCGGCAGGTTGCAACGTGTGCGTGCGCGTCCGTCCGAGTCCCGAACTCGAACTCCCGACGAGTCCCGACCTGCCTCTGCCCCGCCTTCCCGGAACAGTCCATTGCTGCTGGCCGCTAATCCACCAGCCTTGCCAGCCGCGCGCCGTGCTGGCGGTGGCCATGCCTCGCCCCGCCCGTCTGAGCTGGGATAGGATTGATCCGGATCGGTTGAATTGACTGAATGGCCGCACCGCCCGTCCGACCACCCTGCGCTGCGGCCGCGTCGCGTGCCCTCTGCTGGTGCCGGACCACCTCTATCGCTCTCAGTGGGCGGCCTGTAGGAGCGCGAGAGAGACAGAGCGATGTCGTCAGTGTCAATGCTTTCAGCAGACCATCTCTATATAGACGCGTTCTCATCTCCGGCCCTTGGCTCGTCTCAAGGGGGCATCAAAGGATTGCTTTTCGCTCGAGGGACCCACCGGTACCGTCACTCGCTTTGATTGGAGTCTCAGTGCACGGTATCCGAGGGACGTAGAGCTCGAAAACGCGCTCCGAGTTGGCTGACCGGTGAGGGCGGTCTGCTGCCCCCCCCCCCCGCCGCCAACGGTCTCACTACCCCAAAATGCGCAACTTTGGCGTGGCAACCCTGGCCGCCCCTTGCCGCCGTCACGCTGGGTGCGCGCACTGCGCGTGCGAGTCCGCGACCCCTCGCGCGGTGCGTGGGCGCGGCGAGCGAGGCCTGCACTAGTGGGGTGCTTTGGCACATTTAATTTCTGCAGCGCCTTATTCCTCCCCTCGCCCATTCGTATGCCGGCCGGGGTGGTGCTGCCGCACGGGGGGGGGGGGGGGGCGTCTCCCTCCCTCTCCCTCCCTCTCTCTCGTCCCCTTGGCTTGGCCCGCGGGTGCGAGAGAGACAGCGCCGGAAGCTCTGTTCGACCTGCCGCGAATGTACAGCGGTATTGAGCGGCGCCCTCGTTTACTACTATCGTAACTTTCGCTCGGTTTCCATGAAATCCGCGACTGGCTGCGCGTACTACAGGCGTTGTTGCTAGTCTTCATACTCGACAGCGCCGGGCGCTTATCAGTGGCGCGGAAGAGCCTGGCCTCGCAGCGCTGCGGCGGCCTTGCGGCCAGTGGGCCAGACGGCCAAACGCGAGGCCGAAAATGTCTGCGGCACGACGGCGGGCCTGGCGGCCGTCTTCACCGCCTCACGTCCAGAAGAAATAACCGACCTTTGACGGCCGCCGCGGTGCTCGCCGCGGTGTTTGCTCCGAAATTTAAAAGCCACTCCCCCTTCCTTCCTCGCGCAGGCCTTCCCCCCAGGCCTTCCGCGCCGCGCCGTCGCGATGCCATGCCGTGTTGACGGTGTGGTGGCACGGCCGGCACGCGCGTGCTGCCGGCCACAAGGCGTGCCACACGGCGTGCGCGGCGCGTGCCGATATCGCGCCACCCCAATCAGGGTCTCGTTGGAGAGGCGGCGGAGGGCGGCCTCGCCTCGCGCCTCGCGTGCAGGAAATGCCTGCCGCGCACAGTCTGATTCGGCGGCACACCGTTGTCGTCGGCAGACCGCGTTGTCTCTCTCGCTAGCAGTGGGAGGCACAGCAGTCTGCGGGTTTGCCGAGTCCGGTCTGGCGCTGTCTGGCGGCGCGTCGGCCCCCGTGCCCCCGTCAGTCGCCAGGTATTTGTCCCACTTCCGGCTCGCCCGGGCTCGGCCGCGTCGTCTCCCGCGTGCCCCGTGTCCACGTGTCCCCCTCGCCCGCGACGCGCTTCGCCGGTTTCGCCACGTGGCGCCAACCTGCCAGTGTCTTTGCACCGGCCAGCGCTAATTTGGCGCCTTGTACGGCCCGCACCGATCCCACCGACGACAGAGGTATCTTTGTGCATGCAGCCTGGTTCCGCGGGGGTGCGACGGAGACTGCGACGGAGCGGCCTTTAGCGGGTACCCCGGGGCGGGGCGGGGGCGGGGCCGTCCCTTGGCGTTGCCGCCCGTGGCGCAACATCAAAACACCGGCCTGCCATCCCCGCGCGTCCGGCAAGGACTGGCCGCCGCCTCTAGATCCTCGACGGCGTGCCGGACGCGGCCAAAACGCCGAAATCAATGGAATCGATTCGGCGAACGATTGGCGCGCTGAGACGCTGCTTGGCTGGGCGCGGCGGGCGACGCTTGGCACGCGTCCCCGCTGTCGCTGCTGCTCTTGTTTGGCCCGGCTGGGTGCGCTGGGCGTGCCGGGCCGCTTTGCCGCCTGGCCGCCTGCTCGACTCGTGCCCCGCTGCTGTGCTGCTCGGCTCGGCCCCTCTGCCACTGCCCTGCCACGCGGCCCCGCGCGGCCCACGGGCTTCTCGACGTTTCTGAGGCCGGCTTGCTTGGCTTGCCTTGCTTGCTGGGCTGCTTGGTCAGCGCGGAGCAAGCAGAGCAAGCGGAGCCCCCACAGCCCCCACAGCCCCGCGCCACGCCGCGCCACGACTACTATGTGCCCCTGCCGGACCAGCCGTAGCGGCGTAGCCGTAGGGGGCAGAGGCGGGGCGCGCCGACCGACCTGGCCCCCACTGCCCCCACTGCCCCGGCAGCCCTGGCCGCCGGTGGCTCGCTGCGTGGCTGCGTGCTCCGTGCACCTTGCATTCCCTAGAGGCTGCAGCCTGGAGCGCGTGCATGGAACTAGGCTGGCGTACCTGAGCCCCGATCCTTCTGCGCTGAGCTGCGCTCCCCTCAGGAATCGGTCGCGGAAGAAGTGATCTCATCCTCGTTGTGTGAAGCTTCGGCCGACGGCGCTGTATACGACGTTTTGACCCGGAGTGTCCGCAACCTGGCCATGTCTTTTTGCTGCTTTTGCGCTGGCGGCCGGGGCGAGCCCTCGTTGCGCTGCACCGGTGTTGCACCTGAGCGGGGCGTGTCCGAACCGTCGATTCCGAAGTGCTTTGGCTGGCTCCCGTCCCTCTCGCGCTCTCCCTCTCGAGACAGATAGCTGAGTTCGGAATGGCACAGCACTGCTGACATGCATCCATCCATCGTGGGCGTGTCGCGTCCAAGTCGTGTCGTCCCATTGAGCCGGGCCCGTCGGGCCTCGGTGTTGGGACGTTGGACGCAGGGATTAGGGGGCCGCGCAGGGCCACGCCACACCCCTCCTCCCTTTCATTGCGGTGGCGTTGCGGTGGCCCCGTCGCCCCGTCGCCTGGACGGCCCCCGGCCCAACCCGAGCCAGCCCCGGCCCCGGCCGGCCCCCGCAAGGCGACGGCCACGACGGCCCGGGCTGTTGTTGAGGCTGCTGGGCTGGCTGCCCGGCTGGCCGCCTGGCTGGCGCACGGTGGCGCGGGGCGGGCGGGGTGGGCGGCGGGGAGCGTGGAGCGGCTGCCGCCATGCGGCCCAGTGCGACGTTGCCACGTGTTTGCGTGTGTACGTACGTCCATGTGTTGGGCATGGCCGAGCCTGGCCGAGCCGTAGGCTCTTTAGCCGAGCCGGGTTGGAAACTTGAAGGGCAAGGGCCCCGAGGGCCGAGGGCAGCCCAGGGCCCAGGACCTGCTTCTGTCTGATGCCCTTCCCTGGTTGATTCGGCCTCCGCCCTGACGGATGCACCTGCAGATGGCAGGCATGCCCGGCAGCACCACGCGAAGGGAGTTCTAGTCGGAACTGCGTTGTAGCGGCCTTCGCCACTTCGTCTCTCTCGCACTCAAGGGCGTTCTCGCATGGGTGCGAGAGAGGCAGGGCGACGAATCTCCCGCTCGATCTCCCGCCTCGCCTCGCCCTGAAAGGACTTCCCCGGCGGGGGCGGCGAACCGAACACCGAGTTGGCACCTGGCGTCGCGGCGACGGCGACGCGCCGGACTGGAAGGGGGAAGGAGGGCACTTTGGACTCGCGTGTGTGTGAGTGAGAGAAAGAAAGAGGGCGTTGGAGGGGGAGGGGAGACGTGTGGCTGCGGGTCTGGACTCGCGCGCTACGCCCGTCGCCGTGCCGCCCGCCCCACCGCGCCGCCGCGCCGCCTGCCGCGCCCATCCGCGGGTCGGAACGTCGGAACGGACGTGCCAACAGCCGCACAGACTGCGGGGAATTTCCGGCGCGTGTTTGTCGGAAATGCCGTTGTATCGGCCAGGGCCCCGCCAGGGCGTTCGCGCGGGCGGGCTTGGCGGCGGTGTCGGCGTCGCGGCGCCCGGGACGCGATTGGCCTGCTAGGCCCGACTCAAAGGCTCCTCGGCCCTTACTCTATATTTATCGCGGTGAGCTTGTCGGGATGCGCCACGCCTGGCACGGCCTGGGCACGGCCGTGTGTTGCGATGCGCGTTTGCTCAGTTGCGACCGCTGGCTCCCGACGGGCGGGCCAGAGGCGCAGAGCCACAGGGTGGCTGGCCCGAGCCCCGAGCACCGGACGATGCTGGCGCGATCGCGGCCGCCGCCATAACGAATCCCTAACGACTAATTTTCGCACCTTTCGAACGAACGACACAAGTTGATTACGACTTGTCCCCTCCCCTTCCCCTCGCGCCCCCAGTGTAGGCGATACGGCGCTCAAAGTACACCAATCGCCATGAATTTTTTCCCCCACGCCCCCTGTTACCCCTTCGAAATCGATCGCAGTGGCGTGGAGTCGCACCAGGCCATGCCGGCCATGCCCGATCTCTCGTCTTTGCTCATGCAGGAGCTATATCAGCAGGTAAGGGCGGCCCCTTGGGCGGCCCCGGGTTTGGACAGTCAGGAATGCGCTGCCCTGGGCTGGGAAGGACGACGGCGAAGTGAAGGTCCGTAGTAGGTCAAGAGGTGTTGTTCGCATCTAACATCCGGTTCTTGCCTGTTGCAGATCCTGCCCCTGGAGTCCTTCGGCCTGCCCCCGGGCGTGCAGACTACCACCACGCCCACGCTCACCCTGACACCCACGACGATGCGCTCGTTCGCGGCCGACCTCCTGAACGGCGCCCTGGACGACGAGCAGACGCCCTACCACAACGAGGCGGGCTTCGTGCCGCCCGTCGTGCACACCTCGTCGTCGTTGTCCACCTACGTCGTGGACTCCAAGTCCTGGCAGGGCGGTTCCGTCACCACCATGCCCGCTGCCAGCGCCGCCAACACCGCCAGCGCCGTCGCCACCAGCAACGGCACCGTGCCCGTCGCCGCGAGCGTAGCGGCCTCCACCGTCCTGACCGCCCTGACGGCCCCCGTCCTGGCGGAGTCGCCGCCCCTGCCCTCCACCACGCCCACCCCGTCCAGGAGGAACGTGGGAGGACGCCGGCCGAACAAGTCCAGCGGGGTGAGTTGAAATGACTTCATGTGGTGCAGCGTTTCGTCTCCCTCTCTCTCGCACCTGTTTCGGGACGCCTCCTGAGTGCGAGAAAGACAGATTCGCTCTGCTGCAGGCTGCAGGCTTGAGGGGATGACCTCGAGCCCTGTCGCTGACTGTACTGACTGTATGCTTTGTGTCTTGGCAGATTTCCCCCGAGGAGGAAGAAAGGCGCCAGATGCGACGTGAGAGGAACAAGGCGGCGGCAGCGCGGTGCAGAAAGAGGAGACTTGACCAGACCAATACACTTGTCATAGTAAGTTTGCTTTTATTTAAAGCCGCAAAGAAAACTTTAAAATACTATTTTGCTTTCTTTCCTATTTCTGTTTTTCTTCCTTAAATGTGACATTATCATAATGTAAAAGGTCTGGAAAGTAACATAAACTTTCTTGTTTTTCTAGGAAACTGAAGGTTTGGAATGCAAGAAACGGGGCCTTCAAAATGAGATTCAGCAGTTGACGAATGAAGTGAAAGAGCTAGAGTTCCTTTTGGAGACTCACGTCTGTCGCCTACCCCGCTCAGAACGCTGTGCCAGTCCTCTGGATATTAAGCCTACCATCTACGACCTAAAACAAGAGGAGGCAGAACATAATGAACTACGTGAACCACCAATGAAGAGACCCATGATGAGTATGCCAGCTCCTCCGGTGGCCCCTGCTGTAGCCACTCCTGTGCAGTCGAAGCCATCTAGACCAACATCATTACCCGTCTCATCGCACAACATCTTTAGATCAACTGCTGCAGAAATTGCTGGTATATCCATTACTACTCCATCGACAGGTATCATGCTGAATTTCGACTCACTAATGGAAGGAGGAACTGGCCTCACACCTGTGTCAGGACCTCTTGTCCCATCCTGTTCTTCTCAACAGCGCAACCAAAATTGTGTTGATCTGTCCAGTCCTGACAGCAATATTACCAATAAGCTGGTGTCATTGTGACGGTACTCTGGCTAATTATGTGCTACCTGTGCGGCCGTTTGTGCAATTATTGTCCAAAACTGGTAAAGAACAGTTTTACATAGTCAAAAATTTATTTGTGATTTTATGAGATACTTTTATTTTATAAGAAAAATGTTTTTTTTTGTTTGTTTTTATTGACTTGCAATATTTAGTCGTACATTCAAATACATTTAATGTTGAATCAATTTTGTGTTTTCTTTAATTTGACCTTGCTGGATCGGGAGTCAATAGCAATGGATTTTTGCATATTGCCTGTTGTGGGAACAAGTATTGGATTATTTTGTCCCACACCAAAGTGTTTTTTGGGCTTTGCTCAATACTGCTCCAAATTTACTCTATTTTGCTTCTACTTTGTTTAGATTTTTTTTTTTTTGATACTTTGGTATTTTTGATAATGATATTAAAGCTATTCAGTTTTCATGAAGAATATTATAAAAGTATAAGGCTTTTCATTTAGTCTCAAAACACTAAATAAGTGAAATGCTTGTTTTGATTGTTAAATTGTGAACCAACAATCCTACATTGTGCGAAGCAGCATACTTATAAAATATATATTTTATATGTTCTATGACATATTATTTTAGTCAACTTAACATTGTTTACAATGAATGAATATGTGTGAATAGTTGATCTCAGAATGATGGTATGGAGCCTGAAGTCACCGTGAATCTTTGAAAGATGCCAGTATTAATTGTTAAGTGACAGGAGCTACCATGAGACTTTGCTACAAAGTCTTTGCAAGGCTAAGGCATAATACAGGTACTGTAGTGCCATACTATGCCCCATCAAGTTTGCTACATTAAGCTGTTGTTCTTGCTACATGTTTCTATTTTGTTTTGCTCTGTCACATTCCTGCTGTTCTCATGTTTTAGGATATCAAACTTAAGACAGCAGAAATCTATTGAAAATGTAGTACTAAATTACTTGATTATATATTTTTACAAATCAAATTTTATACATAACCTTACTTGTTCGACTAGTAATATATAGCATACATGTGAACATGAAGTGTACACATTTCAATGTGATAGAGGTTTCATATTTTAAGTAAATAAAGCTTTGTTTATACAACAGAAAATTTTTGATTTCATTTTATTTGTCCCTCTACCCCATGAGGGACCAGGATTTTCTGACCCTCAAGGTAATTGGTTCTGAAAGTTTACACACAAGTTCAGTAATGGAACAAGTTTTTCAATAGACTATAAATAAACATCAACATGGGCACATTATCACTAGAGTCCTTAAGCTTAATATCAGAAACTGCTGGGGCAATATATGCTAAAAACATATATAAAGCAACAAAATATATCAAAATTAAAGCTTTCTACAAGAATCAGGTATAAACCAAAAACCGCAGAGCAAAATGCTGTTTTTTTTTCTCCATGCAAAAACTGTCGCAGGAAGTGGCACAATTCAGAGACTTTTCTTAGATTTATGGTGTTTTAAATTATATTAAAGATGAAAAGGATTACCTTATGACAAGAAAACATCTCTCACAAGGTAGAAATGAATAACAACAGAAAATCAAACAAGGCTAGAAACCTATGATAAAATAAAATTACAGATTTATTGCAGACTCCAAATCATTTGCTGTAGTAGATCACTGCTCGGATTCAGTTAACTCAAACAGGTAAGATGGAATACCCATAGACGCAAGGTAGTCTTCAGAGACATCACATAGCAGCATCGCTGAGAAAGATGTTACAGAAAATTTTCCGATGCAGTCCAAAACCCACTCATGCTGAACAAGAGGAGTGCAGTACTCTTCCAGCCAGTCTGCGGCAAAAAATGAAGATACAATTAATCATCTAGATGACTAACCTAGAGTAAATGTAAAAAAAAAGTAAAATTTATTACTATTATATTCTGCTTCTTTGGATTCGTCCCATTGAGCAAGCGCTACTGGTATAATGCGTTGCTGCAAAGAGAATTCGGTTGGCTTGCTAACCATGGAGGCGCCACAATCAATTAATAAAGCCTACAAAAAAGAAAAGGGGGAGTCAAATAGAATATTTATAATAGAATTAGAACAGAAATGTGGCTGTCATAAACAGAACACACAAAACTAAAATTAGAGTATCTTTACCTGCATTTGAGCTTTTGATATATCCGGAAAATCACCAATGCAACAGAACTCAAAGCCACTGAACAGATTCTTCTTGGAGAGGCGAGACTCTCGTGAACGTTGAGGGCCTGGCTCACCTGTGGCATCTAGTGCTTCAAAAGGTTCCTGGAAAAAGATTGATTTATTATTAATAATTACTGAGTTGCTTGTATTTCTATCTGTAATGCCAGGTAATAGAGTCTGAATCTTTCAATAAATTAATGCAACCAATAAGGATTCCAATACCTCTGGTAAAAGTTTCCCGGCTTCTATGCATTTCTCCACCCATGCAAAGGAGACAACCCATTTTCCAGCAGCAACAGCACAAAGGTATTTCAAGGTTTTGTCAGCCCTATTACTTTCATCCACTCGAACAATGAGATGTGATGTATCAGACGTGAATTTGGAAGAAAATTCAGCTTTAACAATATTTGCAAGCTTTTCGACCTGGAGATAAAAAGGCACTTACTAGTAAAATAATGAAACAAATGTAAAAAAAACTACGTTCTTTTAAGTTGGTTTTAAAATCAATACCTGCGCTACTAAATTGCCAGGAAGACTGCTACAGACAAATTGCAGCTTAGTGGTTTTAAGTGCATCTTCTGCATTCTCTCCGTTTCTGGTCTCTGTAACTTCTACAGGATCAGAGAAAAGGTTTGACTCAGAAGCATCTTCAGTCACTGGTGCTTGGGAAGACGCATGGTTCTCCACTATTTGAATATCCTCACAAGTATTTCTCTGGTTACCCAGTGACTCAAGCAGGTCTTCTTGAGGCAGGTCGTTAGGTTTGCTTCCTATTGAGTCTTTGTGGTTGTCTCCAAGTAAAGGGGGTACAAGTCTATGGCTGGGAATTGTGGGAATTGGAGGCTGCGAACTTGGGACAATATCATCTGATTGAGTTGTTTGCCTGAAATAAATGTAACTAATTTAAAAAATCTCTCTTTCAATTAATGTTTTTGAGCAAGTCGTTTAAAGTATTTCCTACTCACCTTGAAGTAAATGAAAATTGCTTCTGAGGAGTGGGGTTTATGACTTCAGAATCACCATCACTGTCAATCTAAAAAACAAAGTTTTAGGGACTCCTTTAGAAAATTCATTTAAATTAAAAATGAAAGTTGCAGAGAACAAATTAAATCTTACTTGGTTTTTTGATGTGTTGGACAAAACATCCAAGCAGTCTTCAAATCTTTCATTCACTGGTTCTGAGTTCACCACTTCATTTAGCCACCCTGCTGATTGCATCCTTTCCTCTTCTGCAAGCCGGGCTTCAATATTTGCCATTATTTTTGACGTGTCTACAATGCTAATATCAGCATCATCATTATGAGAGCTACAACTATTCTCGTTGTCAGATAGCACCTGAATTTTCTTTTTCTTCTGTTTCTGTTTTTTAGACACACCAACATCAGAGTCTGACGAGTCACTAAAGCTGCCCAATGGCCGGGGGCGTTTAGAACTTATGTCTGGGCCGACACTGGAGCTTGAATCATCATCAAGATCCACTTGAGGAATATCATTTGAAGCAGCTTCTAAAGTAACTTTCTTCTTAGGACTTCTTCCTATGACATCTAGTGAGCCACAACTGAGTTTGGAATCTTGAGATTGTTTTCTGTCTTGATGCACTGTTCCACAGGTCTTCTCAAGATTAATAGCTACATCTCGACCAGTTATGAATGCATCTGAGGTTTGAAATTGAACATCATTCTGAGGGTAGGTACATTCAATAATTTCTGTTTCTGAAATAGCTGTTGCCTCGTTGAGTAGAGATATAGGGCTAATGGCTCTACTTTCTTGAACGGGTGGTTTCAAGGGTTGGGTTAACAGCAATGTTTCGGCATCCATATCAACATCTGATTGGGCACCCAAACTTCTCCTTGCCATGGGAATACTTGAAACGTGAACAGGGCTTTCTCCTTGATTGTCAAAAGACTTATTCTTGGTCATTTGTGGACTTCTCACCAGAACAGACTCTGTTTGTGCTTGAGCATCCTGCAGCAGCCTGTCAATACAGAAGACCTGTTAGGCAGTAAATGACAGCCACAAAAAAGCAGAGAAGGAGAGGGGACCTACCTGAAGGGTGTCCTTGTAACATCCTTACAACGCATGTGCTGTAATGAGCCCCTCAGGTAAAAAGGCACATTTGGAGATTTCTTTGTAGTCAAACGCCCAAGTTTCAGAAACTTCACAATAGTCTGGTGGTCAGAAAAACCTGTAAATATTTTCAAAATTGCTACATTATTTCAAAAAAATCAAAAGAAAATAGGAATGAAGATGGCAAACTGGTAGTTTGAGGCAATATACAATACCTGAACAAGATGGCGCAACTAAGCGTTTCTTTATATTTCTAGAATGTAATGAGAGATTCTTTTCACTCCTTTTTTTAACAGGTAACATAGATCTCTCACATACTTCAATTTCTGACTGGAGGCTGTTTACAATTTCATTGACCCTGTTTTTCTTTTTCAGCACTGGACTATCTAATGAAAGATTCAAGCATGGCAGTTCATCACTGCTGCCAGGATCTTCAATACTAGGTGCAGGGGAAATCTGAAAATCTTTCTTCATATTTTGAACATGAGACCAGCCAGGTGAGTTGGTGTTTTCTTTATCCAGGTCCAGTACAACTATGACAGGATCAGGGACCTTCATTTCAGGATCTCCTGTTGATGTCTTGGAGCCTGCCTTTGTTGGTGTTATTTTAAGAGCCCCAAATCCCTTAAGGGATTCTTGTTTAGCTTTCACATTTAGTTGACCCATTCTTTTGGGTGCAAGCAATGTCTTTGATTTCTGCAATAGTGGTTTTTTCACATGACTTGGAGGCTCACAATCATCTTCAATATAAGCTGATAATGGTTTCTTCCTACTCGTCTGATCAGGATTAATTTGAGAGACCGATTCCATTTCTGAGTCAGAATCTCCATTGGTTGGACTGTTGGATTGTTGGACAACAACAGGTTGGAGTGACTGAATCGATACCTGACTAGCACTTGGCGCATGCACATCCAAGAGCCACGACTCAACCTTCTTACTTCTCTTCGAAACAGTTTTCTGGTCACCAGAAGTGGAAGATTGATCTAAATTATCGTGCTCAATGGGTGGGAGAGATTGACGAGTGTTTGAGTGGGTACTTTCCTTCAAAAGCTGAAGTACTGTAAAAAAAAGTACAATATAAGCGTTATGGGTAGGTGAAACAAAAATGGCGATATTAGGAAATCAGAGGAATATAAAGAAATTCTTGTTAACAGACAAGAGTGATAAGTAATCTTCAAAAAACTCACCATCGTCACAGCCCATATCCGCAATGTCCTTCTGTGCACTAGAAATAATAACATGCACAGCTTGAACAACACCTCGTATTTTTTCATTTTCAACAACGCCACGGCGATTGATGCGAGCATTGCACAAAGGGCAAAGTGCATTCTTTCCTTTCACAACTCTAATAATGCAAACTTGACAGAAAGTGTGTCCACAGCGTGTTGTCATAGGGTCTCTCAGTGTTTCAAAGCTGTAACACAAGAATGTAAATATAAGACTTCGGATGAATAGATTACAAACCACTACTAAAAACGTCTAGAAGCAAATTTCAAAAATTTAACTGATCATTAACCTGCAAGAAGACACGAAAAAAGATAATAATAATTTACCAAATAACACATTGCAGATGCTTCTGCAACGTTCGAATTATGTCGGCCACAAGTCTCGCCTCATTATCCTTCTCGCCTGCCATCGTTGAATTGTTGAATAGTTGAATAAGTGGAAGTAGAAAATAGAACAGCACAACGACGAGGGTGAAGATGTTCGGCGTCCTTGTATTTTGGTTATCTTCTATTTGTGTTTTGTGGCTGTGGTCATGAAATCTTTCGCGCCAAATGCATCGATAAATTTCGCATACCTTGTTGCGACTAGCCTCTCTCATCCTCCCACTGTCGTTCGTCTGCTTGCCGCGTCGTCTGCGTCGCCCCTTCCTTAGTCGCCCCTTGCTGTGAACAGATATTTTTGACATAAATTATTGTGGATTTCTTTCTGCTCTGTAAGAGTCTCAGCTCACACTCCCAGTGAGTTGTTTTATTTTTTATTTTTGTTTTTGGTACTCTGAGGAGGACTAGGATAGCGTAAAGTGCCCCACCTCTTTTCTTTGACAGGTCCTCTTGCTTTTGACAGCACAGCGGTCGGTGGATTGTGGCGCCATAAGGACCATGAATGGATACGGATAGTAAGTAATATTCGGCTTAAAAACCTTTGAAACTTCAGCCTTTTCGTGTATTTGCATTTTTCCTTCCCAAGGGTTTAACCAGTAAGGTGCGGGTTATAAGTGTCATTGTCACTGACAGATTCCAACCATATCCATTTTACAACTAATGTAAATGAAACACAATAAGTTCTGGGTGTTTATATTCTTTTCTTCTTTCAGTTCTGGCCAAGGAGTAACAGCAGATCAATGGAACAACAAAAGCAATTCTGCTATGTCCAAGATGGAACACACATTTTGGGTCACAAAACAGAGTGTTTTTCGCAAGTTTGGGAAAAAAGAAGATGAATGCATTGTTGCATCTGATGCGGAGCTTGATGCAAAACTAGAACTTTTCCGATCTGTTCAAGACACGTGTTCAGAGCTCCAAAGAATTCTTGACAAATACCAAGAACGTCTTTGCAGTAAGTTTAATATGAGCTCGAGCATTTTCATAACATATTATGTGGAGCGTTGAAATTGTATTTTTCTTTCATAACAGATTTAGCTCAAGAAGAAAGTGCTATGGGAAGATTTTTAAAGGAGTGTTCAAAGCGAGATCAAACAAATGCTGGCAAAGCTATGATTAGTGTCGGTCGAGCTCTCTCCTACTCTGGGCAGCAGAGACTTGCTTTGCGAGTTCCTCTTCAACGTCTTTATCATGCAAGTTTATTGTTTACCTCTTGTGTCCAGCCTTTTTGGATTTAAAAGGAAACTAATGTGTGTGTTTGCAGGAAGTTGAAACATTTCGTCAGCGTGCAATTGAAGACACTTTACTCAATGTATCTGCAATGGAACGGCAGAGGACAGAATATCGTGCTGCTCTTAGCTGGATGAAAAACATTTCTCAAGAACTAGACCCTGACACCCATAAGCAGCTGGAAAAGTTTAGGAAGGTAATAAAATTTTAAACAAAACAATTGCTCCTTTTTTAACTATCTAAGACTTTCTTTTGTGTTTTATTCTTTGTCCTCTGAAGGTCCAAGGCCAGGTTCGACAAAGCAAAGATAATTTTGATCGCTTGAAATTGGATTGCCTGCAGAAAGTTGACTTGTTAGCAGCTGCAAGATGCAACATGTTTTCGCATGCTCTCACTTTATACCAACAAGCCCTTATTCAGCATGCTCGTAGAGCTCATCGTGCATTTGGTACTGTTGCCAATGATATCAAAGGTAATACATCTTTTACATCCTTAGTAGTTAGTAGTTCACAAGGCAATAAAAATTTCTATATGAAGTGATTTTACCTATTAGTTTATCCGACCAAGTTCATAATCACAGAAAAATAGTCAATTGCTTCTCATTTTTTTTTCCATTCTATTGTGTTAGGCTACCAGCACTATGAGTTTTCTGTGGTTCCGGAATTAACTGAAGAGTCCTCTCGCCTGGCAAGACAGTCTAAAGAAAAAGATAAGTCGCAGGGAGAAGAGAGGCAAGATGAAAAAGATGGGTAAGAATCTTATCACAAAAAAGTTGCCAATTTAAAAAAAATAAATGTTTGAATATATTTTGCAATTATTATTTGTTTAATTTATTTCCTCTCTCAAATAGGCTTCTTTTCTTTGATACTGAGTACCATGATGACAAAACAGAAGGTGTGCAGTCATCTTCTCAAAAGCAGAAGTCAGACAGCATGCAGAACTTGTTGAACAGTGCAGGAGAGCAAGGTGTCCTTCCTCTTATTCCTTTAGACTCAGAGGAGTCCATTATGCCTTCTGAACCAAGTGGTATGAGGTTTCACCATGTATTTTTATTGTTACAAACTTTTGTTACCTCATGTTCCTCTCCCCCACCCCCCTGGAAATCTGTAATCTATGATTAATAACAAATCTTACTTTATTTTATTTACCAGGAATTTCTACCTTAGACCTCCTGGCATCTGATTGCCTCAGCCAATTAGATGATGTGTTGGGGAATTCTTTCTCTGACGGAGTTCCTGCAAGTGTGTCTGAAGAATGGGAATCCTTGTTTACGAACAATGATTCTAGTGCATCGGTTGGTGATGGAATCTCTTCAGAAATTTCACCCGCAGTCGAAAATAGTGATGGATTCTTACCTTCCCAACTTCTTGACAACTTTGCTTCATCCTTGAAGCTTGAGCTCTCGACTAATCCTTGTACTGTTTTATTTGTATATTCTTTGGAGTTGTCTACTACTTTTTATTACTGTCTCATTCATTGAATCATGTATATTGTGTTTTTAGGTGGTTCAAACGTTAAAGCAAAGGATGATTCAACTACGCCAAGCAGTGCTGCAGCCTCATCAGAACTAAGCTTCATGTCAAGTCTAATGGCCAATTTGAAGCCCCAAGCTCCTCCTCCAAGCCAGACAACAGCAACATTACTTCCAAGCCCCACAGGCTCTAATCAATCACCAAAAATCAAGAATGAGGTACTGTATTGCTATTGCCCAATCAGCTCCTCCTGTTTTGTAATTTTGTGTTTGCTGAGGTACATCAATATTTTTTCTCTGTTGCAGGCTCAAAACAAAATGAGTAGCACAAGTAAGAAGGATATGTCAGCCTGGTATGATCTCTTTGCCGATTTAGATCCCTTAGCCAACCCAGATGCACTGGACTCCAAAACCCTAGAAGAGGAGCGTAACTGTTAACATATTTGCTGTATGATGAGATCTATATTCTATCTGGCACATAAAGTTATTATTATCACCAAACTCATATTTTTTTTATTAACTTTTTTTGAGGTGTTGTGATTCTTGCAAGTAGCCATAGTAGCTTTTTGAGACAAGTACTTCCAATTGTTTTGTTTGTACGTTTTTTGCACAGGACATAACAAGATGTGTGGGTTATGCTGTGCCTAATTATTTTTGCAAGGATCTTGAATAATAACATATTGATTGAATTTATGGAAATGAAGGGACCATCTCTACTGTACATTTTGAAATTGTAGGGCAGTTCGAGTAGCCTCATTTTTTTGATAAATTGCATGGAGTGTCCAGATTGTGGCATGTTTATTCTTTTGTTCTTGTTTTTATATGAAGAAACTAAATCTGTTATAGTTATTTCTATTTTAACTACATAGCAAATAAACTAGGGTTGTCTTTCCTATAAATTAAAAAAAAGGTAAAAAAGTTACTTAATAATCCATCTTGTATACATGGATTATGGATTTGTTTACCATGTATTCATTTACATTGCTGAAAACTGTGCTATTTGAGCTGTTTCCAGCCACATCATTATATCAAAATTGTGTGAACATGGAAAACTGAAGTCTCAGGACAGTGGAAGGAGAGATTTTATATCCACCTGGCTTGCTGTTTGAGGTAGATAGAAAGTAATTTAATGAAAAATAAGTATTTTAGCCTAGCTAAGCTGAAACGAATCAGTCACATAATTTTTATACAAGTGTATTGTATCCTAATGTCTTCATTCCAGCCAAGTGTTTAGAGTTTCTGAAATTGGTCTACTTGTTAAAGATAAATAGTCTATTCCAAGGAGAGATAACATGAACTATTTTAAGAAAGTTTCAGAATAACTATTATTCTGTAAATTGCATTTTCTGAGTTCCTTCATTTTGCTTTTATACTTACTTGATGCTTGAACTCCTCTTAAGCCAAAGATACAAGTTGTTATTACAAATTATTGCCCTTAAACTTCGTATTTGCATGTCTCAGCAGAGGTAATATGCACTAGTCAAAATCAACGACAGAGAGAGAAAGAGAGACTCTCACTAGTCATTAGTCATTGAATATTTTCTGTGTGTTATGGTTGAGGATGGAGTGGGTGGCTTCACTTGCACTAAGATTCAAATAAAAATGACTACAATCATAATTTTTTTTAGTGTTTTGCTCTTCTTGATTCCCTGCCCAAAATCACCCCTGTCCACTGAAGCAAATTGCTTAGAAAAGTGCTGGTGTTTTAGATGTGATTGGGGTAGAATGTAGAAAGCAATAAATGCCTGTATTTTTATAAAAATGTTTATAAATTGGTTAACAAAAAAAGAACATGTAACCTGCTTAGTGCTTAGCTAGATTGAAGGATATGAAATTCAATTTCCTTTAGTGACATGCAGTGTGTGCGGGAAAAAAAAAACTAGATCGTAGAATACGATTAATGATAAAAATAGAAAGGGTAGTTCAGATTTTGTGCATGGAACTTGGATTTCTGTGTCAATGTGACAATGAGATCATAGAGAGATATTGGAGATCTCAACGCAGTGTCCTGAAGCAGCTCTTCTAGGCATGAACGGTTTCGATTTCGGCCTCGGCTTTTTCTCGGACTTCCTCCGCCGTCTCCTCGGCCTTCTCCAGCGCGGCCTCCGCGTCCTCCGCCGCCTCCTCGACGCTCGACATGGCGAGCTTCTCCGCCTCGGCTTTCTTCGCGTCGGCCATGTCGGCCACGTCGTCCAGCGAATCAAGGAGGTCCTGGAACAATGCATTCCCTTCCCTCAGCAAATGGAATGACAACACCACTTGGCATTTCATCGATCTTTCTTTTCTCGGCAATTGTTCACTAGCAAGGCGCACCGCTCTCCTTCAAGCGCAGTGTCGCGCACGCTATTCTTCGAGCGCACAGGAGCGCCCCTATCCGTCCTGAATGCACGAAATGGGGACAATTTTTAAAGAGCGCTTTGAAGCGTTCTTTAAAAATTTTCCACTCGAGCTAAAGGTCTTCAAGCGTGAGTTGACACTTGACTGAAGCGACGGCTGGCTCTAGTTTAAACCAGGCGACAACCGATCGAACCAGAAACCACTACTATTAGCGAGGAGGCCCACAGTGTCGAGGTGCCAGGGGTGCGCGAGTTGGCCCAACGGGGGACGCCACATCGGCAATCGGCACACTGTCCGTATACACGCGAACGGCGTCCGCGGCGTCCGCACCTGCATCTCCTTCTCGTGCTCCTTCTCGGCCGAGGCGACGGCGTCTGGCGCGGGCAGCACCTCCTTGATCTTGGTCTCCACGGCCGTCTCGGCGCCCGCGATCTTGGACGCCATGTCCGAGGCCATGTCCGCGCCGCCGTGCAGGGCGTTCTCGGCGCCGTGCAGCACGCCGCCCAGCGTCGACTCCATCTGGTGCGCCACGTTGGACACCTGCAGAGGGAAGGACCACACAGACGTGAAGGTCGGAACTCGGGCAGGCCGAGGGCAGGCCGGGCAAAGTAAAGGCTCGTCGCTCCCACCTGATTGGACACCGTCGAGGAAACGTTGTTCATCGCGGAGCCCACGGTGTTGATCGTGGACCCTATCTTCTCCTCGATGCCGTCCACCACCGCGCCGACGCGCTCCTTGACGCTGTCACCGACGCCTGCAGCAGTCAGAGAGCAGCGATTAAGTCCAGCACAATCAAGTCCCCCGAAGGGAAGCGTGGGGTGCCCCAGGAGGGCAGGGCCGAAAGCGGCCGAAAGCCGAAGCGCGCGAAGGGGCAACACCGGCAACACGGAAGTAATCATTGTCCCGCCCGCCCGGCCCGCCCGTCCCACGCCGCCTCCCACCAATATGCATTGATTTCCCTGTCCCGACTGCTGCTGCTGCCTTCATTCCGCCGTGTCCTTGGGCAGGGCCGGGCAGGGCCGGACAGGCGGGCTGGCAGGCAGCCCTCTCGCTTGCACCGCCGGCACCAGGGCCGCGGCCGCAACAAGGACGGAGTGCAGGGTCGTTTGGCCGCGTCGGGGCGCGGCGGGGCGGGGCGGGGCGGGGCTGCCCTACCCTCCTCCCCCTCCGAGGCACGCAACCACCCTTCCAGCATGCTTGTAGCAAGCCGTCGTGCGCCTGCTTGCCCTCCGCGGCCACCGCCAGGCTGGCCAGGTGGGGCACGGCGGGGCCTGGCGGGGCGTGGCGCGGGCCGCGGCGTCAGGGTCAAGCAGCGACGCGTTTCCTGCGTGGCGCTGCCCGGTACGCCCCCCCTTTCCCTCCCTCCGGCAGGACGCGCATAATCCGGCCGTAGTGCGCGCCGCAGACATCACGGTGCCGTCATTAAGTGCCCGGAACGCCGAATGCCGTTCCGCGACCTGTCTCTGTCTCTGTCGCACTCATGGGCTGGGGTGGCTCGCAGGGGTGAGAGAGAGAGGGGGGAGGGAGACTGGATGATGGTAAACTTCGGAATCAGCCTGCGGCCACTGCGGCGGACCCCGCCTGCCGCCACCTAGGCCGGCTCGTAAGGAAGTAGCGAAGTGGCGAAGTAGCGAGGGGTGGCTGCCCTCGTGTGCCCCCGGCCCCCACAGCCCCCTGCCCTCGGCGAAGCCCTCGCGGCCTCGCGGTTCGGCCTGTCTGCGGAGCCCGCGGCCGTGGGGCTGCGGGGCTGCCTCGCCAAGGACGGCGCTCCGTGACGACAGCAGCGCGGCCCGCGACCCGCGCAGCCCCGCGCAGCCCCGCGCCCCGACACACTCATCGGGGCGGACACGTGCGTTCGTTCGCGAAAAAGGAAACAAAGTCAAAAAGCGTCATTGGGACACTAGGCTAAACGTAGCTGGGGCGGCTGTTAGTCGGCCGTCGGCAAGACCCGTATAAAAATAATGCATAAAGGAGGAAGTGTTGACCAAGTCGTCATCGAACTGCCATTGGGGACACAGCGTGACGTCTCGGCACTCCCCTTCCCTTCGGCCTTTCACCGACACTTGTCGTGTCTCACGAAGTCCCAGTCAGTGTTAATTTTCAAAGGCGATGCGATCGTTTGTCGGACCCCTTTCCGGCAATCTAATTCTGGCTGGAGCTGGAACAAACAAATCGTATGATCCGACAAGTTCGTTTATTAAAAAAAAAAAAAAAGCAAAAGAAAGTAAACAAAAATATTGTTCGTGTTCGATGGTCAACAAACAAACAAAGACGTCTTGGCGCAATAAAGAAATCGTTAAAGAAACAAAATCGAACTTTTTATCCACCTTTTTTTGGACCGTTTTTTTTTTCAAACCAATAATCATTTGTTACACGAGCATAAATTTGTATATGCTGTCACGGAATGAGGGACTTTGTTTATTTTTGTCCTCGAGGGGTCGTACTTTGCGTTTGCTGCTCCCCCTGCCCCCGCTGCGCCCGAACGCGGCAACGCGCCTGGCCGGTGCGTTGGCCTCACCCCGCCGCTGCCCTCCCCCCCCCCCCCCCCCCCCCGCCGGTCCGGCCGGTCCGGTATCGCGCCTAGTCGGCCGAACTCGCCGACACTGCAATGTCGGCTTGGCTATGAATACCACACACAATGTCGCGGTGCCGTCCGCCCGTCCGCGATATCAATCACCAGTTCTTTACGAGCACCAGACTGAGAGTCGTTTACGTCGCTCCGTCTCTCTCGCACTCACGGGGCGTCCCGTATCGGCGCGAGGGAGACAGAGCGACGGAAACGACTCTCGGAATCAGTCTGCAGCAGTCCAGGCCGGACGGCCACGCCAGCGGCCTCCACCCGCGCGGATGGACTGGTTGGCGGCGCCGCCGTTTACCGCGCAAGTTTTTCCGCTCGACCCCCTCGCCGCTGCTGTCTCTCTCGCACTCCTCCGGGTCGTCCGGCGAGTGCGAGAGAGACAGGGCGACGCCTTGCCGCGCGGTTATCCGGCGAGAGGCGGTCGCCGCGGTGGCCGCGGTCGCGCCACTTGCACCTTTATGGCTGATGCGAAGGCCGCGGTGGAGCTAAGCGCGAGGGTCGTTCGCCAGACGCGGTGGCGTTGCACTCACTGCGCCCCGCCAACCCCGCCGGCCCTGCACTGCACTTCCATATTCATGCCTCTGTTGCCAGTGCAGCATGCGAGCCCCGGCGGCCTGGCCCGGCCTGGCCCGCCCAGGTCTGACGCGCCGTGACGGGGCGGCGGCACCCGGCCGCACCCGCGGTGCCCACGAGGAGGCCGTCGCGTTGCTGTCACGGGCAAGGCCGGCAAGGCCAACGAACGGGCCGGGCGGGCCCCGTCCAGACCTGCAGCGCACGGATTTGTCTGGCAGAGCCACAATTATCGCATTATCGTTCAGACCCGGCCGCCGTGACGAGTCCTCCACATGTTGAGCCGTGATATTGTTCGGCGACCTCTCCCCAACCCCCCACGGAAAGTTTTTGAATCAACTTTCGACCGGCGGGGGGACCGCAACGCTCGCGCCTCCACTCTGCAATGAGGTTTGCACCTTATGGGAACGAACTCTAAAGGGCTCAACAAGGAGGTCTGGGTCCCGATGCGATCCCCACCGCTTTTGCAACGAGAAGTGGAGGGCTGGTGAGGACTGGTCGATGCGGTACCCTTTGGGCCTCCGTCTTGGCCGGGCCGCCTCATGCACTACTTACACGTACCGAAATAGCAGCCGAGAAATGGAGCCCCTCTCCCGCCACGCCCCCAGCACCCCGCCCCCAGCACCCCGCCCCCGGCACCCCGCCTCCGGTGTTATCAAGATCGCCTTTGCTACGGAGGGTGGGCAGTTCGCGAGGACCGCCTATGGGACCAGATCGGACAGCGGCAGATCCAAAACGGCCTGGTCCTCCCGAACCGGCTGCCTAAAGAGTGAGTGAGCGGAGTCATCACCGCGAGGGACAAAGAAAGGCCTTACAAAAATTTAAGAGGGAGGGAGGTTGGACGAATATCGGCAGGTCGGACAAGAGGTCGTACCAACGACGTACTCCGCCGCCGCCCGGCAGGTAGGCAGCGCGGGGACACGGCCGCGCGGCGGGCTTGCCTACCCAATCGATGGCAGGCGCTTCGACACACACTCGGCACCCTCGTCGTGCGTGGAGGGACACTGCAGCGGGCCGGCCAGCCTTTCCGTCGTCGGACTCAGCTGGTCCTGTCCGATCGGTGACTAACCGTTCTCGCTCCGCCTTATTCCTTGTTCGCGTTCTCCTCGGCTCCTTGCTGCTTGTTCCTTGTTCGCACGTGGCAGTCACGCCATCCGCGGCTCCTGACCACCCTCGCCAGCACAGCCAGCACAGCCAGCACAGCCCTCGGCATACCGTCGGCCAGCGCTGTGCCGAGCCGAGCCGGGCCGCACCGCGCCAAGCCGAGCCCTGCAGCCGGCGTGGCGCCACGCCGAGGCGAGCCGAGCCGGACCGGGCGGGCCGGCCGGCCGAAGGAAGCAGAAAGGTACCGCGAGGCTCGTCGTGCAAGTCGTGCACTGCGTGAGGGTCGATACCCAGCCAGGCCCGGCCCGGCCCGGCGGCCCGGCCCATCAGGCGCCTATCACACACGTTGTTGACGCGTAGTAATAAAGGCGGCCGCCAGGGCGCGCCATTTCAGCCGGCCATCCCACTTGTGGCTTGCGGCCGTGCGGCGGGGCAGCAGCGGGGCTGGCCGAGGGGCTGGCGACCCTCACGCGGCGCGCAGCCCCCGGGGGGCTCACCGACATGACACTGGGAATTCCCCCTGGCTGGGCGAGGCGCGAGGCCTCCAGCAGCGGGCCCTCATACTCGCCACCTTGGTTGAAAAACACTCTGTTGTTTGTACACACTGTCACTCTCTCTCTCTCTCTCTCTCTCTCTCTCTCTCTCTCTCTCTCTCTCTCTCTCTCTCTCTCTCTCTCTCTCTCGCAATCGGCCTTAGGGTGCGAGACAGACAGACGGGACCATGTGTTCGGAATGAGCCTCCTGCTCCACCCACGCCCCGCCCCGCCCCGCCCTGCCACTCATGTCACTGGAGCGTGAGAACCAGGCCTCAATTAGCACGTGGCCGAACCAAGGACCAAGAGCAGCGTGCGGGGCGAGGCGGGGTCGCAGGGACATGCAGGGACGGCGTCGCGACCCTGCCCTGCGTGGCAAGCGCACACTCAACTAGTGTGCGCGCCTGCGCGCTGCTAGAGTGGAACCTTGCCGAGGACTTCAGCGTCTCTGCAATGCCTTTGCAATACAAAATTCGTCGTTTGTCCGACCTTATTTTGTCCGACCTGTCCAATTTTCACTTGCCCGTGAATCGGCTGAAAATTTTGACCGACCTCCGTTTTGTCCGACCCACTTACACCGCCACGCGGTCAGGCTGCAGCTCGAGAGCAACTCGGCGGCGCTCAATTGATCTAAACACCCGCGGCTCACTCTCTATGTCAATCAAGACTGGATGCAGGACAATCCAAAGACATTTTAACACAAAATGTATTCAGAGTAAGAGAAGTAAAATGAACACTATAAAGAAAATTTCAGCGAAAGAGGGCACCCCGGCGAACCGGCCCTCTTCCCCGCTGGCTTGGTGGACCAGTGGTTCCCCCATCTCATCACAGGAGCAACCTCAGAGTTAAACCGCAGTGGCCCCGTCATTGGTCACGTCATCTGTGATGTGGAGGAGTCCTCTCATAGTAGGCCAGGCTGCCACCTTTCCCAGTAGTCGGGTTTCGTTCCCGGCCCCCTTCCCACTCAGGGGCCATGCTACTGGTACTCAGGAGTCTGCGTCACCCTGCCCAGCAGCGGAACCACTGGGCTATGAGAGGCACACTGACCGCCGCCCGATTTTGTATACTTGAACCGCCTTCTTGCGATGCAAGCTTGGTCAAAATATTCTTTACGGTGCTGGGTATCGAACCCCGGACCCCGCAGTCGGGACCCGACGCCTCTGCGCTCTCGGCCACCACGGCCCATGGGTGACGATGTGCGAAGGGGAGCATTTGAAGCCGCTGGTCGGAACCGTATAGTCAGACAAAAAGAGCAGGAAGCTAGTATTCGATCGCTCGATCCGAGTATAGGATTCAGAGATCTCAACACCTTCGGCCACCGTGGCTCGCCGTGTAAGCCGAGTGGCGCAGCGGCGTTGATCTGCTACTTCAGGGGCTGGGGTTCGACTCCCTGCAATTCTTTACATTTTAGGAGTGGCTTTCCCGGTGCGGCTTGGACCCGCTACGCCGAGTGGCGCAGCGGCGTTGATCTGCTACTTCAGGGGCTGGGGTTCGACTCCCTGCAATTCTCTACATTTTAGGAGTGGCTTTCCCGGTGCGGCTTGGACCCGCTACGCCACTTGGCATACACGGCGAGCCACGGTGGCCGAAGGTGTTGAGATCTCTGAATCCTATACTCGGATCGAGCGATCGAATACTAGCTTCCTGCTCTTTTTGTCTGACTATACGGTTCGGACCAGCGGCTTCAAATGCTCCCCTTCGCACATCGTCACCCATGGGCCGTGGTGGCCGAGAGCGCAGAGGCGTCGGGTCCCGACTGCGGGGTCCGGGGTTCGATACCCAGCACCGTAAAGAATATTTTGACCAAGCTTGCATCGCAAGAAGGCGGTTCAAGTATACAAAATCGGGCGGCGGTCAGTGTGCCTCTCATAGCCCAGTGGTTCCGCTGCTGGGCAGGGTGACGCAGACTCCTGAGTACCAGTAGCATGGCCCCTGAGTGGGAAGGGGGCCGGGAACGAAACCCGACTACTGGGAAAGGTGGCAGCCTGGCCTACTATGAGAGGACTCCTCCACATCACAGATGACGTGACCAATGACGGGGCCACTGCGGTTTAACTCTGAGGTTGCTCCTGTGATGAGATGGGGGAACCACTGGTCCACCAAGCCAGCGGGGAAGAGGGCCGGTTCGCCGGGGTGCCCTCTTTCGCTGAAATTTTCTTTACAGTGTTCATTTTACTTTTCTTACTCTGAATACATTTTGTGTTAAAATGTCTTTGGATTGTCCTGCATCCAGTCTTGATTGACATAGAGAGTGAGCCGCGGGTGTTTAGATCAATTGAGCGCCGCCGAGTTGCTCTCGAGCTGCAGCCTGACCGCGTGGCGGTGTAAGTGGGTCGGACAAAACGGAGGTCGGTCAAAATTTTCAGCCGATTCACGGGCAAGTGAAATTTGGACAGGTCGGACAAAATAAGGTCGGACAAACGATGAGCACCGCAAAATTCCTCGAAAACACACTAAAAGCGGTGAAATCCTTGGCAGAATTGAGGGCAGACAGCGGCCGTGGTCCCCCTCACGCACAGCTCCACAACGGCCACAACACACGGCAGTGACATTGCTCTCTGTCCCGAGAAGTGCATAGCGCTGTAGCGGGACTCGAGTGCTTTTGATTTGTCACGGGGCCGGCCGAGTACACAATCAAAGCCAGCTGCGGACTTGCCAATAAGGCAAGTGCCTGACCATAGTCACCAAGCCGTTGCATTATCGCACGCAGGATGAAAATTATATGTCATTACTACAAAGAACTCTAAGCATGAAGTAATCTGACAAACGAGATAAGTACGTGATTTCGCGAACAATTTTCATTGCAACTATTGTTCAATATGCTCCGACTAAGGTTTCACGGTGTGTGTAAAAGGCGCCATGCACGTCGAGCGGCGCCATGTCCGTTCCAGCTCGCGGTGCAAGTGGAGCATTAAAAAGGCGTTAGCGGCGCCCGGAGAGGTCCCTTGTGCATCCATTCATTCGTTCGTTCATTCGTTCGTTCATTCATTCGCCCGTCCGTCCGTGCATGACTCTCCATTCGATCCGACCGCGCACTGCGAGTCGGGTGACGGTGAATTGCATCGCAGCAACATTAAGGCTGGAAGTGACAACTTTGGTACCGCCATTTCGGGCCCAAAACGCGCGGACCTCCGCGCGAAATGAATTATGGCACTGTTTGACCTCGTCAAGCGGCGCGGCCGTTGTACTCCGCATCGCAAACGCGATCGAGCTATCGAGTACCCTTCCGTTTACACGGCACCCCTGCAGGACGCCACACGTGTGGCGTGGATGAGGGGAAGGGGGGGGGGCGTTTCCGAGCCAACACATTGAGAAACCACGTGTGGAGAACCCCACCCTTAACCTCCACACTTGTATTATCACGATTGCAGAACCCAAAATTATTGTATACTTTGAGCAATGCCGGCCAATAAATTCGGGCCTTTTTGTTTCCTTTTGCACTAGTGTAGTGTGCTGCTTTCGAAAGGGAGGGTGCCCTTGGAAGGCCGTGCAGGCAGACGCAGGGCGAAGGGCACTACCGTGTGTTGAGTCGGGGTGTAAGGCGAAGAGGGAGGGGGAGGGGAGGGGGACACGCCAGGGCCTGCTGGGTCTGCTCAATCCGTTTCGCCTGATAGCATCTCGCGAATGTGGGTCGCGACCCGCATCTTCGGGTCGTGCACCCCACTGCGGAGCGCCGGGCCGTCGTGGAACGCCCCGCCGTCGAGGAGCGCCCCGCCGTCGAGAAGCGCCCCGCCGTCGTGGAACACACCCCGCCGTCGTGGAACGCCTTGCCGTCGTGGAACGCCTTGCCGTCGTGGAACGCCCGAGAATGGGACGCTCCCCACACCCTGCCGTGGAACAACGCCCCGCGCAAAAAATTCCAGCCCGTCCGAAATGAGGTGCACCGGGTTCCCCGCCCCCTCCCCTTCGCCGGCCGCGGCGTGGCGCCCTGGAAACTTTGTGCTCCTGCATCGATTCTCAGATCGGCCTATTCGCTGCCGTTCGCGCTTCGCCTTCAAATCAGCGCGGTTGGCGTGGCCGGCCGATGCAGCACGGCGCAGCGCGGCGGGACGAGGCGCGAGGGAACCGGAGGGCACGCCCCCTGATGGGGCCGCGCCGGCCGCGGTAAACGGACCAACAACAAAGGGGAAAGGGGGAAATGGACAAAAGAAAAGAGCTGGCAATACACATCGGGCGTTGTAAGGCACGATGTCTCACTACGTCCACTGTCCATCCCAATGTCTGGGTGCACTGCACTCCAAATCTAAAGGCGGTAATATTTCCGCACCCTTTACAGGCGGTAACTTTGTACACGACAAAAGTACCGCCAGGGATTCCCAGGCGCATCATGGGGAAAAGGGCCTTTTTTCCGGGCACCGCCTGGGAATCCCAGGCGGTACTTTTGCCGTGTATTGGCGGTGTCAACGTTTTACCGCCAATACGAAGGCGGTACAGAAGTTACCGCCCTAACAGAACCGTTTGTACCTCCTTTCGAGAGCTTTACCGCCTTTTTCTTGGCACTCTGAGGGAACGTTACTGGCGGTAATATTTTGTAACTCCTTTTACGCACCATCTAAACGGCGCGCAATGGGCGGTAATACACTGTACCGCCGTTTTCCTTCGGTTTGTAGCGTGCGTAATTGGCGGGCTCCAGATTTTACCGCCAATACGAAAGCGGTACACGTTTTACCTCCTTCGCTACACCGTGTGTACCGCCCATATATTTGTAGTGATGTAGGAGGAGAAACGGTTCTGTCAACAATTGATGCGACGATCGAAAGTGATTCGACTTTGTACACTGCGGACACGGAAAGCATAGCAACTACACTGAAAACGTAATGGTCGGACACATGCCCAAAGTATGGCGTGACAAAAAGTCACGCTAAAAATTGGCGTGACATGAAATTCACGCCGAAGAACGGCGTGACATGTGAGTCACGCCCTCATTTTGCGTGAATGACAACGCGTTGACAAGTCACGCCAAAAGCGGCATGACAAGATATTCACGCCAAAAATTGGCGTAAATTTTTGAGTCATGCCGATTTTTGGCGTGACTTTTCTGTCATGCCGTTTAATGGCGTGACACTTAACTCACGCCCCTGCAGCGGCATGAAGTCACGCCGGTAGATTTTCAGTGTATACTTCGTATTCAGCACTCGGGGAGAATGCCATGCTTCCGTTCAAGTTTGAAATCCAAACGTGACAGATATGTCCCTTCATTCGATGAAGAATTTTCTAATTTCCGCTCTACATTGCGAATTTGTTAGTGCCACCGCAGAGGAACAGAAGAAACTGCGTTGTTCGGACTCCTTGGGGGAAGGACTTTATTGCGCCACACCTTTGAGCGGACAGATATAACTCCCCGACAAAACACAGAGAAGTCTCAATGTTTTTATTCTGATGTCACCTTTAAGGGCAATATGACGCCAAAAAAGGAATTTTGACTTAAATTTTGACGTTACGGACTGGACACTCAGCACTTTTAAGAGACTTGCGAATGTTTGTTGGGGTACATGCGATACTCACCATGCAGCGGGTACGGTGTGTCCTCCTTGGCGTCCTTTGTGGTGCCGGTCTGGCTGGCCTCCTTCGCCTCCCTGGCCTGGTTGATGAGCCTCACCGGGTTCAGCGCCCGGGCGAGCGGGCTGCTCGCCGCGCACCCCATGGCCACCCCCGCACAGCCCTCACAGGGCGCACAGCCCTCACAGGGCGCACAGCCCTCACAGGGCGTTCTGCAGGCGCATCCGACCGCCCCGCTCTGCCTCGTCGTCCGCCTCGGCTCCGGCCGCTCCCCCGACGCGGTCCTCGGCGCGGCGCTGTCGGCTCGACGCTCCGGCGGGTCGACGCTCCGGGTCGGCACTCCGGTGCGCTATGGCGTCGGCGGCGGCGCTCCGCTAGCTGAGACTGGCTCGAAGTGACCGCTGTCCGGCACCCTGGCGTGGCCGCCACCCCTCGGGGCCCCCAGTGGGGCGGAGGCGGAGGGGGCCGTCGGCCGGCCGAGCAATCAGGGCGGCTCACGCACGCCGAGCGCGCCGCGCGGGGCCGCACATGAGCTATTCAGCGGCCGCCACACCTCGGCACACTATTACGGCGTGACGTCGCCGTCGTGGGAAAACGCGGGAAAAGCCGCCTCGGGAAAGAGGAAAACGGCGGCCCGGGAAATCGGCGAGACGGGGACGCGGGGATGCGGGGACGCGGGGAGGTCCCCGAGGCCGTCGTCGGCCGGTCGTCAGCCTGCTCGGCTTTGTGCTCTGCCGTCTGCCGTCTGCCGCGCACCATGCACCATCATTCACCCGTAAGCCGCCACACCAGCGGTGCCTTTCAAAAGAAAAAAAAAACACAAAGCAACTGGTTGTAAAGAGAAATTGCTTAGAGAACGTTCGAAAACAAAAAGAAAAGAAAAGAAATGAAGAAGCTGGCTTTGATAAAGGTTTCTCCGAACTGTGTGATGTTGCCCCTGGCCGCCAGCAAGCAATCTGCGGCGCGACGAAGCACGCCGAGCACGCCGAGCACGCCGTCCGTCCGGCGGTAATGAACGGACTGACCTTAATCAGGCGGGCGGGCGAGGCGAAGGCGAGGCGAAGCGCAATCAACCTTTGCCGAACACCGAGCAGCACAGCCAATCGGCTCGCGACAAACCCGCACAACACCGGCCCAGGCCTAACGCCCCTCAGCACCCTCGACTCCAAGAGACTTGCGCGAGAGGTAGAGAGGGCGCTACCCCACGCCCCGCGGCCCTCGCGCGCGGGGTAGAGACACACTCCAACAAGCGCGGGCACGCAATCCGTGCAGAGTCTCTGTCGACGTGGAGCATCGCAAGCCAGGCAATGTCGCTCGACACCTGTCCTGCATTTGCTGTTGTCCGAGGGGCTCAGCGAACGGATGCGGCTCGGACGAAGGTAAACAGAGGCTCACCGCATCAGAAAACGGGTCCGTATTCCAACATTGTAAATTTCGTGCCACCTCTCTCTCAAAACTTAAATATTTTTGTTTACTTGTTTTTGTCACTTTCCATGAAGTTATGAATTGTATTTCACGTATTTGTTATGTATCTCTGCTGATCTGGGTTCGGAAGCTACAACCAGGGCACTGACGATAGGTCAAGACTTTTGGACGTCGACGGAAAAAGCCTGAATCGCCTAGCAGCGTCGGAACGGTGTAGACATGTGAAGATGAGGGTTTCTAGTGATTCGCAAGGAGTGCTGTAGAAATATGTATTTCACTCACAGATACGATACATACAGCGCAACTAACATCAATTCAAACTTTCACATCGATAACATTTAAAAGGAAGAATAAAATTTTTGACCATAAAATTTAAGTTTAATGATAGACAATAAGTAGATATGCATATGCAATAGTAGCCTTAGCCTCAGCCATCAATTCTCATGGCGCTCAAAGATGTCTAAAGAAAAATAAAAGATCACATTTAACTCTATATTATCCGAAGAAGCACATAATTTACTTGATTACACCTATCATCGAGGGGGCAACCACTTGAAAAATCCTATTCCCCTTCGAGCCCTTGAAATACGTGGAAATCCAAAACCTTTCCCTTAAAATGACAAAAAAAAAAACAACCGGCAGATTCGTACGATTGGACAAAATCTTGCGAAATTCGACAAAATCTTCTCTTCTCTTCAAAAAATCTTGTGTCCCCAAATATCGAACGTGGTTGCCCCCTCGTCTATCGAAGTACGCCGTTACAGTAAAGACTAGATTATCCACATTCATATTTTTCAAATAACTAATATTGTCATGTTGGGAAAGGAAGGAAGGAAGGGAGGCTCTCCATTTGTATCCGATAGGTACTATTTACCAGGTACAGCGCGGATCCTTATAAATAAGCGTAGGGACTAACCTGTCACAAATACACATTCTCTGGTCTTGATTCGCTCCAGCCCACAATTTGTAATGTCACGTCCCCGAAGACAAGAGCACGGCAGAGTAGAAGAAAAAAAACACCGAATAAGCGTGAAGCTCACCATAGGCCTTGCCTGGCAGACAGGAGGAAGGGGTTCCCGGTGCGCCAAACGCCGAAGACTTCCTAGAGAGTTGGACAGTATTGTCCAAATAGAATGTACTCTACAGGGTGGTCAGAAAGTTACGCCCAGCAGGGCACCAGGGTTCTCGGCTCAAAACGACAGAGTTCCAGTGCTTCTCCGCTTATGCTTGGGGTAATGGCAATGGCCTCGTTTTTCCCCTGTGTTACAGCCGAACCAAGGCAGGTATTTTACGTTATTATTCAACTAGGACCACCCTAAAAATAGACACCGAACACACACAAAAAATCGAGTAAATAGCCAACCAAACTGGACTCGAGACAGGCCTTGTGCCTGTCGGAGCCCCGGGCAGGGTAGGCAATGCTGCGGAGCGCCGCGCGTGGGTGTGGAGCGCGTGGCCTATCCCCCCATTGACAGGCGCTCCAGCGGCCGAGCGCGTGGCCTATCTCTCCATTGACAGGTGGTCGCCTTCATCGGGCAGGTGAGCGCGCGTCCGCATCCGAAGGGTGCAGCCAGGTGCAAGCCGGTGCAGCCATCCCACAGCAGCAGTGGGGTCGGGCCGAGGGTCGGGCCGAGGGTCGGGCCGAGGGTCGGGCCGAGGCCGAGGGTCGAACCTCTCTGTCTGCTCGCTGGGCGCTCGGCTTGCAACCGACTGCCGGTCTGGAGCAGCTTGGGACCCGTTTCGCGAGACTCGCCGTCGCCTATTACTGACACTCTCAAGGTGGTTCGTCTCTCCATTTGGTAATTCAATATAAGTTGTGGTTTAATCTGACCCTGCCTTACCTCTTCAAGATCCACCGTCGGAAGTTTACTTTGTACAAAAATAACGTAGAATAATATAATATATATCTGGCTCGTTGTGAGATTCTAAACTTATATCACAACAATTAACAACTTTTTTTCGAGGGGTGCCCCACTCTGGTAATCGTGTGTACACTTCGTCTAGTAATCACTAGAAATCACATGCCAAAACTTAACGATTTCGCTGTTTTTATCGGTCTTTGGGGATTTTTCTTATGAAAATAGGCAAGAAATGATCCTAACTGGCCGAAATTTTAGAGTTTTATGAGAATTTTTTTGGGTAATCACTGTTAATCAGTAATCGTGTGTACACTTCTGAGCTGAATGGTGGACCCCTCGCTTTTTTCGATAAAGACACGAGCTTTGAAACTGGCAGATTATGTACACAAGAAAAGTCAAAAATGGCATTAAGTGCTGATAGTCCGCCCAAGAAAGTCGACATTCCAGCACAAGATTCGTAAAAGAAGACACACACAAAGCTGCACATAACTTACACGACTACATGGATCAACAAAAATAATACCGAGGGGGGAAACAGGTGTGGAAGATATCGCCCACCGAGCTACTAACTTCGTTAACTTCACCAAAATACATTCTCTTTTTACTCCAAAATACTTCAAATCTATCTGTTAATTTCAAGCAAGGGTGTGTGTATCTAAACTTCAAACCCATATCCCCCTTGACTAACTAATACATCAAGATAGTTAAAACGCCTTCCTACACTTCTTTTAAAATCTCAATATGATAGGTAAAATCGGCACGTCCCGTCGACAACCGCGTTCCGTTTTTCCATTGAAAACCGCGTGCGTGCGTAGAAGTAAAACAAACACCAAAAATGCGGCAGGATAGCCGGAAAGTCATGAGATAGTCTGAAAGTCACGAAATGGTCCGAATTAGTGCAAAACAGCTCGTACGTCTTGAGTGAATTCCCCACCGATCGAAGAAGAAGAAGAAGGATCATGCAGAAGATCGACATTTCCTCACAAAAGATTCCACACAACACACCGACAGCCAGTGCGTCGGCCCCCGAACAGGCAGGCTCGCTCCGCCATCACTGTCTCATCATCGACACCCTCCTAGGCCACGTTCAGATTCTCACAGTTCTTGAACTTGCTGTCCTCCCGGCCGAAGATCCAGGTGAACATCTGCCTGGCCTTCATGGAGGCGCGCACCATGCCCCGGTTCTTGTACCAGTGGGCGGTGCTCTCACGCTCCGTCTGCGTCGCCTTGATCCGGATCTGGGTCAGGATGCCCACGAGCAGCTCGTCCACGTTGTGGTTGATGCCCACCGAGACCTCGATGAACTTGGCCTTGTAGGTGCACGCCAGGCACTTGCCGTCTGCAGCAAGGAAAGATGCATAGTAAGCCACGTGTTGATGTTGTTGTTTGTGGTGTGGTCGTGAACTCACCCTGAGTGGAGACGGCGCGGCTGCGCGCCAGGTCCACCTTGTTGGCCACCAGGATGACGGCCCGGTTCCGCAGCATGCCCAGCTCTTGTAGCCGCTGCAGGTCCATCTCGGTCTTCTGGAAGGACGACTTGTCCACCACGGAGAACATCATGACGAGCGCCGCGCAGGGCTGCCCCGCCTCCAGTTCCTGCGGCACGACATGCATCATGAATCCAAGCAGGGGCAGCTCAACACGTGTGTGCACACTGTGAGACCAGTTTGCCAGCAGTCACCGGCACTGTGCCTTTCATCAATTTTCAACCCTCCCCCCTTCCTGCCCTGCCGCCTCATGGCAAAGAACACCGCTCAGTCGGACACAGCTCTGGCAGGCGAGCGATTCCTAGCCCCTCGCTCTGTCTCTCTCGCACCCGTACGGCACTCTCCATGAAGGCGAGAGAGACAGCAAAGAGTGCGGGCAGCGGAATCAGTTTACTCGGTTTACTGGGGACACGGTGCACGCACGGTCCACGCACGGGCGCACGCTGGGAGATCTTCCGCAAATGAGACTCGGTTCAAGCTGACGGTGAAATGGATTGGGGTTTGCCCGCTGAACGAGGAAATGTCATCGCTGCTTTCATGTTGGAACCTGGCTCATACGCTGGAGAGATCAAGCGTGCATGGTCCACCGGCTGTGGTCTTTTGGCCGGTGGCCTGACTGCAAACGCGGAGAACACTGCAAACTCTGCGCTTCCAAGTGTGGAGACTGAAAATTCCACGCCTCCGCATTTAAAGAGTGAAGTTCTCTTCAGTTGGTTTGACAGTGTACTCTCAAAACAATGAACTATTTAAGGCCGGACAAAGAAAGGATTTTGAGCATATGAGCTTGCAAAGAAAACACTTCGTGATTTGTAAAGCAATTCTTCGTTTCACAAAGTCTGGACGGTGCTCATTGATCGGTGAGGTTTCCACCGCGACACGAGAGTGTGTGTACCTTGAGAGTGCCGTAGTTGACGAACTGTAGCTCAGACTCCTCCCCGTTGAGCATGATGGACACGGACTGCTCCTTAGGCACGTCTGGAACAGAACGAGTCGAGCATTAGCGCGGCGACCCTCGAACAGGTGTTGTCGGCGTTCTCATATGGCGTGGCACCGCCCGTCTCTCTCACGCTCGTTGGGCTGGCCGAAGAGCGAATGGGGCAGCACTGTAAAATTGTTTAGGTTACGGTGACTGCCGACCCTGAGCTTGTCCCGAGCGGCAGCTGGGAGGCGGCCCGTGTTGCAGATATCACTGCAGCCTGCAGCGCTGTAACCACTGTAACACGCCCTGAACGCACTTCGGTAAATCTGGCTGCCACTCCCCACTCGGGACAGTTGGCACTGGCCCGGCGTGGCGCGTGGCATGGCGTGGTGTGGCATGGCACGCGGTGTGTGGGTCAAGGTGGCCCCCCTGCCACCGGGCCAAGCGGCCACGCGGCCACTCTAGCGCCCCGGGCCTCGTTCGTGTCCATGGGCCCTTCGCTCCACGCTACGTGCAGTGTTGCCAACAAAGAGCAGCTTGACGAAAAAAATCAAATTATTATAGTCTTGAGGTTTGCGTTGCGAGCCTAAATATGCATAGCGCACCTTGAAATTGGAAATGAAATTTTCCAAGTCGGTCGCCCCGACGTTTGTTGTGCGAACGCGTTTGGCTTTCCATGACGTCCTGGTGAAGCCTGGTTGGCGAGCCTCACAGCGTAGTGGGACGGCACGTGTGTCTCCTGCCGGAGGTAGTACTATTTGTTCGTCGCAGTCTCCCTCCTCCCCCTCCTCCCCCTCCTCCCCCTCCCACACGCTCCAGCGATTCGCGCGAGCTTTTCTTGTCGTCTCGAGTCACGCACGACTTCCCCATGCATAGAGAGAGAGAGAGAGAGAGAGAGAGAGAGAGAGAGAGAGAGAGAGAGAGAGAGAGAGAGAGAGAGAGAGAGAGAGAGGCGCGACAAAAGTTATGCCGACGTTCCATTCTCGGCGCGGGCATGCGCCGTCCAGTTAATAAAACGACCACCTGCGCTTCCACGGCCAGCCGGTGCGGCGCGGCGGGGCGCGGCGGGGCGCGGCGGGGCATTCCAGGAGCCTAACACGCTCGCGGGCCTTGGCGGGGTGGCGGTCGGGTCGAGGAATGTGCTCCGTGATGCCACACATGGCCGCGCACACCACGCAGGGCGGCGGGGCGGCAGGGCGGCAGGGCCCTAGATGACGCAGGACAAAGCCGGCGCGTTCGGCGCGGGGCTGAGCGGGGCTGAGCGGGGCGCCGCGTCGCTATGTGTGTTGTACTCGACGGGGGTGCGCTCGACAAAGGCCACGGGGAATAGGGGACGAGGACGGGGAGCCTTTTACTCAATTAAACTCCAGACAACGCGCCGCCCGCCCGGCCCGCCCGGCCCGCCGCCTGCTATCGCGCGGCCTGCAGGGGATAACACTCGAGGGGATGCTCCGGGTTTACCGGCCGCCCTCGGGCTGCTCGCCCTTCGCACCCGAGCGGCGGCGGCAGCGGCGGCAGCAGCGCCGGCGTGGGGAAGGGGAAGGGGGCGTTGTTATTCCAGGGCGAGCAAGGGTGAAAAGCGTTTCCCCGTCGAGTGTTATGCGGCTTGGGCTGCCGGTTGGCGGGGTGGTTGGCGGGGCGGCCGCCGCGCCGGCCCAGCCGAAAGCCCGACCGGGCTGATGCAGGGCCCCCTCCCCTCCCCCTCCCTATCCCTCCCTGCTGCGGACTTACCTCGCATGCCGTCGTAGGCGTTGATGCACTCCGACGTCATGAACTGGGAGATGAGGGCGGACTTGCCCACCCCTGGCGCGCCCAGCATGGCCACCCGGTGCGTCACCACGTCCATGCCGGGCATGGCGATGGCGTAGGGCGCGGCCGGGGACATGGGGGCGGCCGGGGAGCGCAGCAGCGGTGTGGTGCCACCGCGGTCCATGGAGAAGCCCTCGGACGGCAGCAGGGAGTTGCTGCGGGAGCGGCGGCGGCGGAAGGAGTCTCCGCGGTTCACCACGCCTGCAACAGTGCAGCACACGGTCAACGCCGTCAACAGTGCGGCGGAAGGGGTCGCCGCGGTTCACCACGCCTGCAACAGTGCAGCACACGGTCAACGCCGTCAACAGTGCGGCGGAAGGGGTCGCCGCGGTTCACCACGCCTGCAACAGTGCAGCACACCGTCAATGCGTGCAACAGTGCTGCACACAGTCAACGCTGTGCGCCGCTGGATGAATGTCGAAGCCGTGACGCCGCAACAACGTCCTAGCCACCCGCTGCTGCTCTCAAGCAGGGTGGCGGGGCGGGGCGAGGCGGGGCGGGGCGGGGCGGCACCGAGTCGCTTGTTTATTCATCAAAAGCTGGCGGGGCTGGCGGGGCTGGCGGGGGCTAGACACAGCGCACACCACACCATCAGGAATGCGTGCGCCTTTCAGCGCCGGAGTTTTGCGACGAGGGAAACGGGCTGGAGAGCGGCGGGTGAGATCCCTGTATGCGAACCCTTGAAAGTTCCCCGACAACGGCCGGCTCGGCCGGCTCGGCTGGCCATGACAAACAAAGGAGTTCTAGTGCGCTCGGATTCCGGTTCCGTTCGTCGGAGTGCATGCAGGTGGCACTCTCCCCACTGGCCGCGTCGCGCCGCGTGTTCGCTGGACGCTGCGACAGTGCGAGGAGGTCCATTGTCCATTGCCATGTTTCGCATGGAGGGCAGTGTCGCGCGGTACAAAGGGAAAAGTTCATTAAAAACCGTTGTCAGCCCTTTTCAAAATGAAAGGGGAAAAGGTGCTCCGCACAGCAGTGCTCCGGGCGAACGTGTGCTGCGGCCGTGCGCGCTGCGGCGTTGATTGCCCGACGGCTGGTGTACACTAGTGTACTCCACCGTGTGAAACGACGGCCACCCCGCAGCGCGCTGGATCAGTGTGACAGCACGCGCAGCACGCTCGCGGCGCGCACTGGGGCACAATCTGCCCCGATCTGCACAGGTCGGCAGTTGTCAACTTTTCTCTCACCACTTTATATTAGCAGGACGCCAAACAGAGCGAAGAGAGTGCCCACAGTATACTGTAGTTCTGACTCGCCACTGTACAGTAGTATGTGGCCTGCCACTGTGGGGGCCTGACAGTGCTCTCCCGACGAAGTGCGATCTCGTCTCTTGCGACGCGCTCTGGCCAAGAGTCAGAAATTTCCATTGACATTATGAAAACAAGCCAAGCTTACGAACACCGATGACAGTGACTCTACGGCGACAAAATTCCATTTTTATTTCCTCTTTTTGGGGGTGGTAGCACGCGTAGCCCTGCGCTTCCACAGCCGCTGCCTTCCAATTTACAGCGTGCATTGTCACCTTGTCACCGAGCCCCGCCAAGCCCTGCTCGCACGTGAAAAGTGCATGGCCCTGCTGCCCGCCCTGCGCGCCCTGCGGCGTGGTTCGTTTTTCACGGCGCTCTGGCCCGGCCGGGCCGGGCCCGGCGTCCACCGAACCGAAACCGGGTTGAAACCCCATCAGTCCCGCGCCTCTTGGCAGTGGCGATGCGGCGACGCCAGCCTGCTGCCACCGCCATCGGGGAAAACCCACGTTATCGCATCGATGAAATCATTTTCCGCGGCGTCCGCGACCGTCGCTCGGCAAAAGCTCGGCGAAGCACGGCAAAGCTCGGTGAAGCACGCCGAAGCACGGAGAGCGCTGCACCGATGAATATTTCGCCCCGGAAATGAATAATTAATCACGTTCCATTTGACACAGCCTATAATCGGCGCGGTGGGCGTGGCGGTGACGTCATGCCCCGCGGCTTGCCTGGGCTTGCCTGGGCTTGCTACCTCCCCCTTCTGCTTCCTTTTTGTTTCAGGAGCGCGCCAAAGCTTCGCCGCCGGCGCAGCGAGCCGCAAGGCGTTTCAGACCGCGCCCCCCGCCAGCAGGTCCGCGCTGTGACTCCATCATGTTCGCCCTCCACCCTGGCGCGCCCTGGGGCCGCGGCGGTTTGTTTCTATTCTGACCGCAGCTTCGTGGGTTCGAGTCCCCATGTCGGCGCCCACTCTCCGCCTTTCCCGCGACGGTCGAGCGGACCTGGATCAATCAGGCCGGCGAGTCGGCGCGCCACGCCGCGGTGGCCAAGCTCGGCCGCGGCTTTGCCGTGCTCAGCGTGCCTGCTGTGTTTGTTTACGCGCCGTAAACACCGCGGTGTGCGATAAGTGCCAACGCCGTGCCGTGCGCCGCGCCGACGCGGCAACGCCTGCGGCCGGGTGAGCGCGTCGTCGTCGAGCACGTCGTCGTCGAGCGCGTCGTTGTCCAGCACGTCGTCGTCGAGCACGTCGTCGTCGAGCACGTCGTCGTCGAGCGCGTCGTTGTCGAGCACGTCGTCGTCGAGCACGTCGTCGTCGAGTGCGTCGTTGTCCAGCACGTCGTCGTCGAGCACGTCGTCGTCGAGCACGTCCACTGTGAATGAACAAGGTCGTTCATGGCAGAAAGAATTTCGCGGAATTTCGAGTGAGGCGTGTTCTATATAACCGATCCAATTTCAAGGAACGCCGCTCTCTCTCGCCCACGTTTCAGCGCGGTTCGGCTCGGTTCGGCTCGGTTCTGCTGGCGGTTCGTCTGTCGGCGGTACATAGTTCCATCCAACTATGCGCAACATTGTCCTAACTCTTCCTTATCCAGAATCAGATCATTATGCCTCACCAAACTTTGGCGGCGATCATGACTGTTGATTGGCAGTGGTGTCATTGGCAGTGTCATCGGCAGCGGCGTCGCCGTGCGGGCCGCCGAGGCCGAGCCGCGTCGTACAACTAGGGTGCGTCTGGCGGTGACGGCGCGAGGCTGGGCGAGGCGGTCTAAGGCGGCTCCAGGCTGTGCGCAGGCAAAGGCGACGAGTCTGTCTGGCTGGAGGTGCAGTCGGTGGGAAAATGCTTCAAAGCGGTGGGAGGCTGTGGGGCGTAGCCATGGCGTAGCGGTGCCGAGCTGTGCGACACTGCGGCGACACGAGACCGCGCGAAACTGCGCGAGACACAGGAATCAATATCGGGGCGCTGTGCCTGGCTGTGCCTGGCTGTGCCTGGCTGTGCCCTGTCGGCGGATTCCGAAAGGGGGTCCTCGTCGGTCTGTCTCTCTCGCACCCATCCGGGACTCCCCGTGAGAGCGAGAAAGAGAGAGACCTCACACTCTGAATGAGTCTGCTGTGCCTCTCCGCGCCGCCCGGCCCGGCTCCACGGCTTGGAATGCCAGGTCGAATGTGGGTCAACGCACGCCGCGACACGGCACGGCACACCGCGGCACGCCACACCGCGGCACGCCACACCCCCTCGTGTGACTAGGTGGGAGAGTGGGCAGGCCGGGCGGGCGAGCGGCGGGCGGGCCCGAAACATGCATAGGAAGCGAACCGCGGTCAAGCTAAAGATAGGCCGTGTCGAGCGCGGGGATGAGATATGGCGCGGTGAGGGTGGGGCCGCGGGGTCTAGTGGGACCGGTGGGGCGAGGGCAAGGACGCCGCAGAGGGCACGCGCACGCACACACGCGCGCGCGCACACACACACACACGCACGCGCGCGCACAAAACACACACACAAACAAGCGCGCACGGTGGACAGGAGACGCGGTAGCATCAGTTTCCGCACCCGACGAGCGCTTGCTTATTTTGCGAAAAGCGGTGATGTAAACGGGTAGCGGATACTCCGGGGGATGATAACACGCCAGATGCAGGAATTCTTTGTGTTGTGCTATGATCCTCCCCGGGCTGGATCGAAAAATATTAGTCTGAGCGGAATATCGGTTTACCTTTCCTCTTCGCCGGGAGCAGGAACACGAGGGCGGAGCAGGACAGCTCAGGGCCAGCCCAGGGCCCTTCCCTGTAGTACCTCCCCCCGGCAGAGTCCATAACAACGCAGGAACCCAGGGTGGCGTCGCGTTCCTTTTCCATTTACGTTCAATTGAACGTGACTCGAGACGCATCCGAGGGACGCATCAAAAGGCAAGGGCTTCGCGGAAGCGTAGGAGCGTTCAAACGAATGCGACGTCATATTTAAACGAACCCAGTGAAGTTCCAGGGACCTCCTCAAACAGTCATTCTCCAGTGGTGTACCGGTCTCGGCTCTAACGCAACGCCCATTCAATTTTATTTTCAACGTTGCCGGGCCGGGAAACCCGAACCTACGAGAACGAGGAGCTCCGTCACGTCGCTGAAGGTTATTTCGGGGCCGCGTTGCTTCGAGGAAATTGGTGTGAGCGAAGCTGATAGCGGCGCGCAGGGCTTGCCCGGACTTGCCATTCAGCAGCGCGCTGTCTTCGGCCCGGCATACCAAATGACCGCCAATAAAACAAGTCGAGTGAGGGCCGCGCCGCCGCGGCCACAGTAGTAGCGCGACAGCCGCAAAACTATGGCGAAACGGTGTGGGGAGGAGGGAGGGGGCGGGGAGGGGACGCGCAGTCCACAGGTGGCTCGGAGGCGAGGCGCGGCCAGGCGCGGCCAGGCGACCCCAGGAAGTCCGTCTTCCTTCCCCTCGGCTTGCTTCGGCTCGGCTCCATTAGCTGCGAGTCGTTCCGTCGTGTCGTGCACTCCAGCGCCTTGTCTCTTGTCGTCCTTCCTGCTCGCTGACTGCCCTCACTGCCTCCTGTCCCTCTGCCTGTCGCGCTTCAGCTCCGGTCGCTCCTTTGGTCCGCCCTGCCTTTGTGGAACTTCCTTGGCGACGCGACTCACTGCACGCATGCGCACACACACACACACACACACACACACACACACACACACACACACACGTGCGTCCGCGAGCGACTGGTCCTCAAAGGGGGGCACCATGCCTGGAGCCTGGAACAGCCTGGAACCACCTCAGGCAGGCAAGGCGCAAGAGTCTCACCGTCTTGCACCGAGACTTGCAACATACTCGGAGACAGCCGGTGTCGAGCTTTACACGCCACGACACTGTAGGCTGCGTGCTTCACACAGCTCATTATGAGTCGCCACCGTGGCGAAGGCAATCCACACTGTAAGTGCGCGGAGAGCAGCATATGTCGGGGCTTGCATTACGGCTTCGCT